CGGGCCGCGGGCTGGGGGCGGGCGGGATGCGCCCGGGAGCGCTTGTGCGGGGCAGGCCCCGAGCGCGGCGTTTTGTCGCCTCTCGTCGTCCCCTCACCGCAGCCAGGGCAGGGCTCTCGTTGTGAGGGGCGTTTTGCTGTAATTGGCGCCGTTATTGGGTACCTGTGGCTCCCACACGAAGAGCTGGCCTGTTTTTCAATCCTGTTTTCGCACCCCTCAGCCACACCGTTATCGCCACTGCGTTTATGTGACGACGTTTGGTTTTCTGATTTTGAAGACTGTCAGGTAAAGCCCTGCCATTGCTTCCAGTGAAGCTGTTGCTGTGGTAAGGCAAGGGCCGGTAGCAGCCTGCAGGTATTTCACCTACTGCATTCTAAACCCTCCTGGCAGCTCTGTTATTAGTTTCCAGGATAAGAATGAATGCCAGAGGAAACTGTTGATTAATCCAAAATGTAGAGCTTTTCTCCTGTGGCTCTTCATTATTTCACATCTTCAACATTTATTTAAATGTCTCAGTAATTAGTGAAGGTTTTGAGTGTAAGTGTACGTATGAGTACTCAAAGGGACTCAAATTCATCCAAGGTGCCCAAATGAATCATGAGAAATAAGCTGCTATTTGCTGTACTGGGGTGTTTCTGTGGTGGGAGTATGTATAGTATTCCTTTGATAACTAACCTGAAGATGAGAAATTGCCATTAAGGTAAACGTTGCCAGCAAGAAAATATAACGTAATCAGCTGGATGGAAGAGTCAGTAACTAGATGGGTTAAAAATCAATAGTTACCCATTGGTGTTTAAATGTAACTTAAAATGCTTTGATTCTCTCATAATGGATTGATTTTGTTGAATGACCACTATGGACACTTACCAACATATTTATTCTGATTTCTGTACGTTCTTCCACAGCAAACTATGTCTTTTGAATACTTCATTTTCAGGTCCTGGCTCATGTATCTGCGATCTCAGATGCATACTTTTTGTGTGTCTCCAAGTACTTTTTGCCTGACAGTGCAAGTCATTCATTGGGAGATTTTACTAAACTGGTATATGCTTGTCTTGCACAAGCAAACTCAACTGTTGGCAGTATAATCAGCCACGTTCTTTAATGAGGTTAAACATATAGCAGAGAAGATACTGGGTTACATAAGATTTCTGCAGAAGCACTGGCAGTCATTTTTCCATCCCATTGTTTTCATTATCTGAGCTTCTATTCTGTAATGTTTTTAATAAACCTTAGACTTGCTCTGATTAAGAATTAACATTTTCTTTAAAGTAGAAAGCCATTGTGGTTTGATAGGGATGGCTGTTGTCGTTTGGAGGACATCACTATGTGACCTACGATCCTTGAACGTGGTACACTGGGCTGCTTTTAGTTGTAAGGCTTTAGATAATATTAAGGACTTTATTTTTATTTTTTGTACTGTAACTGGTTCTTTAATATATATGCTTCTGTAGGGGTGCCAGTGATCTGATTATTACAGCATTTTTCCTGTTGGATAGTGAGGCTTGGGCTGTAAAATATTTGACCAAAAAAGGTCCAATGCAGCAGTTAGTTGCAGTTCTTTAGATGAAAATATACTGTTTCTTGGGCAGTGGTAGGGGTATTTGATGAAAGCCTTGTAGAAGCCTTTACAGCAGACCTTTTCCACTAGTATAAGATTGGTTTTCAGCCTCTACAGTGCAATGTCACCAAAATTTGAGAAGGATGGGAAATCCTACATGTCAGTGGATTGCCTGTTGTATATGGTCAAGCACACGCTGACAAATGAAGAACCGATTTTTTTTTTTGACATCCCAGTTACATTGTACATCTCTTTGGGCTGTGTTAGGACCAAAATTTACATTACAAAGGTCTGTCGTAAAATAAGTGGCCAGATTAGTTTCAGGAAAAAAAAATCAGTGATTACCTAGGAAGCCTGAAGAACTGCTGGACTTTGGTTTTCCAGATGTCTTATTTATTTAGCAGGTCTTGCGTTACTTTAGTTTTTTGTGTTGCTGGTTTGAGGGCATGTCCATATTTAATCTTGGGACCAAGAGATAGCAAAACTACCTGGAGCTACTTCGTTTCCACAGCTATATTTTAAGATTATAAGATTTTAGCTGTGTTTACTGTTAGTCTTCTTGAATATATAAAGCAAAACTGTTCTGTATGCAAGTGCAGACGTGAATCCCTTCATTCAGAGACAGGCAGAATTTCTGACCATGCTGGACTTTGTCTCAGAGCACCCTCTGCCTGGACAGCTGGGTGAGAGGAGGGCACTAGGCAGACCTCACAGATGGGAGCTGAAGATGCAAACGGCTCTTTGGTCGTTCTGCTCCTTTGTGGGACTGGTTGTGAAGCTGCTGGGGTAACTCAGGAATTTTTGCAACCCGTGCCAGAGCATCAGGTTATCCATTGGTTCATGTTTGAAACTTGTTCCCCACGTACAAGAGCTGTGCTTGAAGGACCTGCCGAGTCACCTGCAGTTTGAGAGCTCCAGTTTAGGTTTCTGTTTCAGACGGATGCACGTGCGTTTCTGTATTAACTAAAATTCCTTCTATGAAAGATTGCCCTTCCCCTTTTTAAGATGTGGTAATGTCTTTAGAAAAGATGGTAGTTTTTAGTTTTCTTGGAGGTCCCTGAGGGAAAACAGAAGATTTAGGGTTTTTTTTAGGTGGCTTTTTTCCCCAGAGTCATTGCTTTTTGCTTGTCATATTACAAATGTAACATTTGGCTCTTGTTGCAAAGATATGTTAAAACTAGTGTTACCAACCAGTATGGGAAGAATTCCTAAATATCCTTTACAGCTATTTGGTTTTTGTAATTATTTCAGCTAGTGGACTTTTAAGAGAGCTGTAAAAATGTATGAACAAGAGGAAGAAAAAATGCATAGTAATCAGGCTTGAAAGATTCTGTAGATCAGTGTTCAGTTCTAAAATCTTGGTGATTCTTCACATTCCTTTACTATTTTCAGGTTGAAATAGATTATTTCATCTGTGTGTTATCAGTGGTCAAAAGCTTTTATTAAATAGTTACAGTTACCAGCATGTCCGTGTTAAGCTGTTACTCTTTGTACTTTTCATTGATGTTTTCACTGAGTGCACTACAGTTGCAACATGGCTTGTTTTGATAGTGAAACATTTCAGATACTATTTATTTTTCCTGTTTTTGTTTCACCTCTAAGATTTAGTGTATTAGCAAAACTGTTTTGCTTAGTAGTGCACTTTAAATTTTTGTGCAAAATAATGCTTCAGAAAACTTGTAGTTAATTGAAGTCACCTACTTTCAGGAGATAACTTATTCTTTAATATTGAAAACAACCGTAGTGATAAAATTACAGTATACTACAGTTCTATATGACACATTTTTCTGTACATGATGTTGTAAAATGATGTACACAGGGCAATAAGTCGTAGAAATTCAGGTGCTAAGCGTTATTAAGGTATTGTAGAAGGTAAAAGGGTGATCCATGTAGTTAGGATGTGAACTCCCTTTACACAAAGAACACTTGATTTTGTCCATAAATTTCACATGTTACATTATCACTACTAGGAAATAGTATTCCTGAATGTCTTGGTCGTGTGGACAGTCACAAATTTTTAACTCATTGCCACTAAAACTGCTAGTCATGTTTGGAAGTATTTCCAGCTTGTAAAATTCTCTTAAAAAGAAAAAACAGGGCTGTGCGACAGTTGTTTTTTTGTCAACATTGAGCACTGAGGACAAACAGAGTACAGTTGTTTAACCACAGGTTGTATTTAACAAGTTATATTGGTGTAACTATTTCAGTTGATGAACTGATGACTAACAAAAATGGTTGTTTTAAGGAAATTACCAGTATTACTATAATCATTCCTGTATGAATATCTGCTAGTATTAAATATCTTTATACCTGCCTAATTGCATTAAAAGCAAAGCTATATATCTGTTTAATTACACTGGTTTTGCTGGGGTGGTACAACTTTATGTTGTAGACCAACTTTATGCCTTTAGGTTGGGCAATTAAATCTGTAAATGTTTGTTCCATCTGTAAATGTTTGCTTTCCTCGGATTTCAAAAGTATATACTTTAGTATTGCTCTTGCTGTGGGGTGATGAGATACTGCCACCTATTTAACTGGTTCCTGAGGTTTTGCTGTAAAGCAGCTGGGAAGGCACACTTGTGTACTGTGACCTGATGAAGTTCCCGTTGGTGGCGCGCCATACAGTTCACAGTTAGATAGCCTTGACTTGCAGGCAGTTCTTCTGTGGGTTATCATTGTTAGAAATCATGTAGAGAAATCCTATATTACTCTAATTTTCTTTCCTCCTTTATGCCTCTAATGCACGAGGTGCGCTGTGCTGCGGGCCCTGGGCGGTTGGTGTTCACCACAGCCCGCAGGAGGAGTTGCCATTTTGAGTTGATGTGCTACTGCCACCCTCGTTAGACCTCTAAATGATATTCTGTTGCAGAGTGTGGGTTGCAGTCTTATGTTCAGTCTTCAATATTTGGAATGTATTACCAGTTTTTTATTTTGAAAACAACTTGGATTTGTTCGTAGTTTTGAACTATAATCTGAAGGCTTTTTTAATTGCAAATTAAAAATGTAAGATGTTTTTATTCTCGCAGGAAGGAAGAAACAGAAGCTTGCCAAAGAGAGAGCAGGGCTTTCCAAGGTAATACTGTGTTCAGTAATGCAGTGATATTTTGAAAGACGTTTCATTTGTGTTATTTGTAAGGTTTGTTTAAAGATCTGTTTTGATTCTAGCGTTACAAACACTTCTGCAAATATGCAGTCTTCATTTTTTTTAATGCTCGCAAATAACCGTATGAAACGGTTATTCCTTCTTTGTGTCAGATACAGGCCTTGGACTAGAAAGTACAACATTTTCCATGTGCCTTGATGGTGTTTTTCTCTTTGTGTACGTGCAAGGACTTTTCAGACTTAAAAATCATCGATGGGCTACACCTATAACTGAACTTGATAGCTTTTTGCTATAAGTATTTGATTTCTCTTTCCTTATTGCCAATGATCCTGGAAGAAAAGATAGATTTATCTTAACCAATTGTAAGAAACGTGGTTGTGATAAACATAACACACATTAGAATTTATATGTGCTAGAAAATTGTGTGCTTAATAAACTCAGTAGGGGTACTTCAGGCTCTGTACAGATTTGTGGTGCAATTATATGAGTCTGATTTTCAAAAACATGTGTACGTTTAACTTAGTGGTGACACTTCTAATTTTTTCTTGCCAGTTTCAGTGTAACAGTGTGATTATGTGTGTGTTTGGCTTCAGTTGAGAATGTTTTCTGCTAACTTGTTTATTAGCTGATGTTTAAGGGCCAGCTTCAGTTTTACTCTTTGTGTTATAGTTGCCTGATCTGAAAGATGCTGAAGCAGTTCAGAAGTTTTTCCTTGAGGAGATTCAGCTTGGCGAGGAACTACTAGCTCAAGGTAATAGCATAATTTTTTTTGAAGGGCAAGTTGTAAAATAATTTACCTTTGCTAGAAGATTATTTTTATATACTAAGATCCTCTGGGGAGTCAAATTCACGTAGGAAAATCAGTTTACTTGTTTCTAAGCTTCTGCGTTCAGAAGGCCCAAGAAGGGAGGAGGAAAGAAAAGTGTGGGTTAATTCACAGTAATTTATTCCACTGTTGGTGGATGTTTTATGTAAATATTTTACAGTGTGGAAGAAGGTTGATTTCAAAACATTGTGATTTCTCATACAGGTGAATATGAGAAAGGTGTTGATCACTTGACCAATGCCATTGCTGTGTGTGGACAGCCGCAGCAGCTACTACAAGTTCTACAGCAGACTCTTCCACCACCGGTGTTTCAAATGCTTCTAACTAAGCTCCCTACAATAAGCCAGGTATGTGGAACATTCCCTGTTGTTTTGGTGTTAAAATAATCGAACTACTTCTCTTATCCACTGCATCAGTCTCGAGTACTGTTTTTTGTAATATGCTTTTTGTATATGTTCAGTTAAATTAAAAGAAGCTTTTTTTTTCACTTGAAACATTAAAAAGTGTAATGAAAAACATCGTGTAGCATTAATAGCAAACAGGGTAAAATAGAAATATAAAACTTCTCTCGTGTACTAAGCTCTTCTATAGTACAGATATCTGACCGCAGCTCTGATACTGTAAGCAGATCCACTGTTTCCCACGTACAAGTTGGGGGATCAGAAAAGCGGTAACTTTCTTGCTCTGGATCTTGAGTTTATTTTTTTAATTATGTATCTACAAATGTCTGTAAGTGCTGTAAAAGTCCATTAGAATGCATGTGTTGCTTTTGTTGGCCTGTTGCTTCTTGGGCCAGCTATAAACACAAAATGTTTACCACCAGAACACATGACAGTTTTGGAAACCTGGGGGTTTCCCTGATAATAAAAGTGTTCATAGCTCTGTGTATAAAATGCCCTCCCTTTTTAGCCTGAGTACTGTGCAGGTAACGTTGGTAATATGCTAGCAGGTGAGTCTGTTGTAAAATAAGTAATATGTTTTATGTTCTTGGAAGTGCAAGGGTGCTCCCTAATGGTGTTACCTCGCATAAAGTAGAGACTCAGTGCTGTGCATCAGTCAGTTCTCTTTACAGCTCAGGTGTGGTTACATTTTGGTTTAAGGTCCATATAGTTAGTAAAAACACTGAGAAGTGTCAGGTGGACAAGATGTCAAGGTCTGGGAAAACAATGGAGCAAAAATGTTTCCTTAGAGAACAGTGCCAAAAAACACACAGATGTCAGCACTTGAGGCTGATAAGATATTATTTGTCTGACTTTGGCTTTGTTAGGCATTGGACCGTATGTAATTTCTGCAGAACTGACTTAAAAACTTATGTCAAATAGGTTACCATTTTTAACATTAATCAGTTTGCTCAGTAATTACACTGCTTAATGTTCAGTGTAAAATGACATTGCTTGGTAATCAGTTGCCTACTGTCAATTTTATGTAATTGTGAATGAGTTTTTCTCCTTCTTACAGAGAATTGTAAGTGCACAGTGCTTGGCTGAAGATGATGTTGAATGAGGTCACACCACAACAGGGAGGAAAAATGTTTTCTTACCCCAGAAGATGAGCATCAGTAGGGGGACAAAGGGGCAAACATAGTAGTTAATGAACTGTGTACCACATCGGGTTCTACCAGAGTTAAAATTAACTTTGTGTAGGTGGGTTTCACAGGATTTTATTTATTATCCCAGTGAAAAGTGTATTTTGATAAGAATTCATTTTATAAATACACTGTGTGGAGTTATCAAAGTATCACTAACTTCATTATTATTCAAATATGCAGTTGTAATGTTGTACATATAAAGACATAAAACTACAACCTATTAAAAACCCAATGCTCATTTTTGAAAAAACGAAGTTATGGCAATAAAGATTTATCTGCACTTGTGTGTCCCTATAGTACTACTTTAAATTCCAGAAACATTTGGATGTCAGAGAAAGTGATCAAAGAATGACTTAGCATTAAAAATAAATTTTAATGTTATGGCTGGTCTTCCAATGCTTTTAATTAAGTTTAAAACCGTGTGTCGTTTCCTGAGAAAATAGATGTGTGATCATTTAAACAGAAACCGACCACCTTAGAGATGCAAATCAGAATGGTAATAGATGACTGCCTGCAGAAAGAATGACAAATCCCATTTCTGTCAGGAACAATAGCATCTGAAGTGATGCAAGTCAAAACTGTACTGGCAAACATGAAAGCTCTGTTAATGCAGGTGTCTGAAATAAAGCTGTTTGGAATGGAACCTGAGGCAGATTGTAAGAGTATAAAGGTTGTTTTTTGGAAAGCTTGAAACTTTTTTGCGAGATAGGCAGTTAACATTTCAGTCTTTAGTCTTCAAGACCATAGAAAATGGTTGTTAATGGTCTTTGGGATTTGCCTTTAAAAAATTGCACTGATAAGGTGAGACAATGATACTCTCAGGCTAAACTAGCTAAAGCTAATGGCCTTAGAAAGATGTTGTAAAGTTTCAGTATGACTTGATTCTGTGAAATTGAATTTAGGTGGGTTCTCCTTTGCCAGTGAAATAATATACAGACTCAAGTGAGTAGCAGAAGCATACTTAGGAAAGCAAGTTTTCCATGGTTACTATGTTCTCAATGTCAAAACAGACTGGCTTCTACTGTTCTCTGGTTTTGTGCTATCACCACTCAGGTGGCAGAAGAAACAATCAAAAATGTGTTTTAACTTAAGGAGAAGAAAGGAGGAGAATGCTTCGAGATGTCTGTCTTTCAGCGCAGCTGCTAGTTTGTGCTAATGATGCCGGCACATTAATAGTAAGTGGCATAGTCCAGGTAGAGGAGATACTCTGAGAGCACTTTAGCCAACATTCCCATCTGCCTCTGTCTCATTTCAGCCTTGTGTAAGTTTATGTAAAGGCAGATTCTTTTAAACCTTAGGTCTCAACATTTTAGAAGTTGCCTCATACAGAATTTTTGGGAGGTGAAGTGGATAGGTCATGGTTACCTAGCAGCCAGATACCTGAGTTTGGGAGTAGATATGGCTCTTACTGAGTCAGTCAGCTTAGATGGTTTGCCATGGAAGAGATATTCCCCTTAACACCTTGAAAACAGAGTTTCCCAAGATTTGAGATGCTATTGAATCTTTCTGTAATGCGAAAAGTACTGAAGTTAATGGCTGATATGAACAAAAATTTCTTGAACAGCTGGATGTAGTTTAGTCTTTTTGTTGTGTGTGAATTGTT